GAAGGATAGATGGTTGAGTCAACCTTGAGCCGCCTACTTGGGATTGAACCCCATGTTGTGAGCACAGTTTTGGCTGAAGCACAGCAAACCACTGAGCCACAAGAAAAAAAACCGCAGCAACAACATTACAGGAACAGGACTGTATATATTCAACATTCTACAACAAGAAAAACAGCACCCAAACATATCTTACCATATCTATTCTGATACAAATAAAGGCCAAGCATGAGCAAACCCCAGGGAAGAACATTTTGTCTGTTTTCTTCCCCAAATAATGATTAGGGATGGAAGTTCACCAAATCTGAAAGCATTTCCCTCCTGACGGCCAACATAGGGAAGGCACTGACTAAAGATATGGCAGGCAGCAGTGGAAATTCTTTACTGCAAAGGGATTATTAAGGGAAGAGCATTGCACCTTTATACAGTATCTGGCAAGAGGAGTTTGTAAGCAGCTCAATTGCTGCCATATGCCATGTGCTACCATCACCAACTGGAGGGGGCTGTTTTCACACACAGGCTGTATCTTGCTGTTACGGGTCATCTTGCAGCTTCCGAGTCATACTGACCCCAATAGGCCTTTTGAAGTACACCAGATGTCCAAGGAGTGGTTTGTCATTGCCACCCTTCAGTATGTTTCCATGGCTTAACACAGATTTTGAGTCATATTTGCTGAGTCCTACACCTATATTAAGGATATATTATGTTATTCATTGCAAAGAAGGGGTTGTTTTATCATGTTTTAATGGAATTTTATTACCTTGCCCAACTTTACTTAACAATAATTATATGTATCTATTTTATATTGATTTGGTTTTACTGGTCTTTGACCGTAGTAAAGTATACTACTATCCTCTACACCAGTGGTCCCCAACCTTGGGCCTCCAGATGTTCTTAGACTCCAACTCCCAGAAATCCTGGCTAGCAGAGGTGGTGGTGAAGGCTTCTGGGAGTTATAGCCCAAGAACACTTGGGCTACCAAAGGTTGGGAACTACTGCTCTACATCAGTGGTTCTTAACCTTGGGTTACTCAGTTGTTTTTGGACTGCAACTCCCAGAAACCCCAGCTAGCACAGCTGGTGGTCAAGGCTTCTGGGAGTTGAAGTCCAAAAACACCTGAGTAACCCAAGGTTAAGAACCACTGCTCTACATCAATGCCACACACTGTTTTTACTACAAGGGAAAGATACTTGCTGCATGTTGTTTTGGAAACCTCTTAATCTGCTCTGATACATCATTTTTTTCTGATGTGTAGACCTGGCAACCAGAAATAAGCTATAAATGGCTGCTCCTTATCTTCATTCCAGTTTATAGCAAGAGCAGAGAAACCTCTTTCAGTCAGAGGGTCAAAGACAGTTTCAGAGAAGTAGTAGAAGCTCCATTTCAGTGATGGGAGTGTCCAAAAATAAGATAATGGTACCAAGAAATCTTGATATATTTCATCTTCAAGCTCTTCCTGACTTAGGGGAGGCTTTTCTACCTACTAGACTGAGAAGAAAATAAATACTTGGAAACAACCAAATCATCATGTCAGGGAAAGAAATACGGCTATTTGGAGAACCCTAAGAAAGCTGGTGTGGTGTAGGGATAATGGTGGAGTAGGACTCTGGAGAACAGGGTTCAAATCCCCACTTGGCCGTGGAAACTCACTGGGGGAATGGAACTGGTAAAACCACTCCTTATATACCACACTCACTTTGGAAGCCCTGTCAGGGTTGCTATAAGTGGGTTTTGACTAGAAGGCACATAAACAGCAACAAGACAGCTGGCCTAACCTCAGGATTTGAGGTTCTCCGCTCCAGTGTAATAAACTTAGACTGAATGGCACAGGGTGAAAATGCAGGCATTCTGATTGCTGGCCAGGTTCTCTATCCCTGCCTAGATGCTAGGGTAACACTGGGAGGGGCAGAATATTTGGGTGCATGAAGCTTTGGACCTTTCTGTGAATATAGAAGGCCTGAGCATTGGGACCATGATGCTCCACCATAAGCTTTCTTCTTGGAATACTCCTTTTGGGACATTGGGTATCCCACCACATGCTTACTTCGAAGCCCCAGGATCTCATATGTATACTTGAAAAAAATATAACGCAAGAATGAACCAAAATGAAAACTCTTCCTCTTATATCTGTCTCTTCCATCCCTTGCCTCTGCCCCTGGCAGTGAAGCAGCACCCATTCTTGTGTCCTTGGACAGTTTAGATCTACAGAGAAAGCAATCCATGATGCAAGAAGGTGAATTCAATCACTGTTTTCTCATGTACATCACTGCAAACAGAATCCCCAAAAAGGAAAGGCCTGGTTTGGTTGCAAAAAGCCCCAAATTCCATCCCTAGGTACTCCAGAGAGAATTTAGTAAATTTTCTGTCTGGAAATTCTGGGGAGCTGCTGCTGTTGGAGTAAACAATGCTGAATCCTTAAGCTCTGATTCAATATAAGGTAGTGTCCATGTCTTCATTTAATTATGAGTAAAATTGAACATGTAACAAGTCTATAATTTCTCCAGGGTCTCCAACCTATCCTATTACCTGTCACATTATATAGACAACTATGTTATATAAATAAAACCAGAAAAGCAAATACTGTACTCATGTCTCAGACCCAAGCAGTGAAAACTCAAAGCAGATTTATAGGGTAAAATATACATATATCAAGTTTATAAATCAGCCTTCACTCCAACTAGCTTTTGTCGATTTCTAGTCCTCTTACTCATTCCATGATTTAAACGAGGGCTCAGAATCTTACAAGGGGGAAAAACTGCCTAGCAATACTATTTATTAAATTCCTTCACTTGACAGTTTGTCCAGTTAGATCCAAACAACCTTTGTATTAAGCATTCGCTAAACGTACTCTTTTATCTAACATATTTTAAAGTGCATTTGAAATACCACTTTTAAAAGTGTTCTAAAATGACCCTGCCAACAAAATACTGTACCTTTTAAGACCAAGGAACAAAACTACTGAACAAGAAAACTGCTCAGCTGACAAAACGCTCCACTTAATTTTGTATGTAGTTAAATTAATTGCTGCAGTTAGAGATGCTGGATCTATTATAAAGATACAAAGAGATCAATTTCTGCACATATGCATTCAAATGCCTTTTCCGAGGCACTTTTCTGAGCAGAAGAGATCAGACAGTGGCAGGAAAAAAATAATAAAACAAATACGTACACTTTTAATATACTTATCACCCATGTTTTTTTTCTCATCTCTGTATATATGCTAACACATTTATTATTTTACTATACTGTCTTTTGCATTAAAAAAGCTACATGTTTTTGACATCACATTCATTTATTCTGCAGGATCTAAGAGCAGTCAGGAAGCCCGTGTAGGGATTTCAAAAGGGATGTCATGTGATCAGAGATATAAGGGGTGAATTATCCTGGCCACAGACCACTAGTTGAGCAGGCCAAGGCAACGTAATGAAAAAGTTTTCAGGAATCAAAGTTGGTTAGTTAGTTTGGATAGGGAAAGTTAGAAAGAATTAGGAAATTAATCATGTTTGCCAAAGGGGAAGAAAAGGGAACCCCTTGCTTTCAACACTGTAAAGAGAAAAGCCACCCAATTTGGCAAATGCACAGGTAAGGAATGCAAAAGAAAGCAAAAGTGCACACCTATTCCACAGGGAGGAGAGTTATGCTGTCACTGGCTAGCACCCAGTGTGATTAGTAGAAGAAGTGCAGTAATGGTGAATATTCATGCACACCCTGCACAAATGTATGTATGCATGCACACATATATACAGAGGCAAGCGTGCATGCACACATACATGCTCACACAGAGGCCTTGGATCTCTATTAAGGAGACAGGAATCGTAGGCTGAATGGAAAGCCTTAGGTGGAGCGCCACTGCTGTAACAAATAAGCCACCACTGTGATCAATGGATAAAGACAGTGATTGTATAAGGTAATGAGCATTTGGGAAGAAAGACAAGAACTTCAGTATTGGGCTAGATCAAGACAAAAACAAAAATAGAGAAAACCTTCTTCAACAGAGTAAATCAGTTCATAACTCACTTGTTCCAATGATGTCAGTAGGTCTGTTCAAAGCAGGGAGAAACAATATGGTGTCATGGATAGCATGTATGACTAGGTCTCAAGAGACACGCATTCAAATCGCTGCTCAGCCATAAAAATTCACTCGGGGTGGCAATGATGAACCATTCCTTAAACATCTAACATACTGTACCTTGAAAAATCCTATTTGAGTCACCGTAAGTCAGAAGACCCTTGACAGCCCATAAAAGCAACAACCCAAATCATGAGTAAGCCTGGTAAAGCATCTAAGTGGAAGCAGCAGAGAGCCTGGAAAATGTACTTCTTACTGAAGTCTTCTCTACATTTGATTTTATCTTACTGAAACAAGGAAGAGGTGGTATATTGCTGGCAAGGGATTTGAAGGCCACCTCACAACCTCTCTTATATTGAAGGAAAGGTCTGATGAAGATCTAACAGTATAAGAACAACAACTGTATTTTCTAGCTGAACAAAGAAAGAATGTGTTAAGGGAGAGACAGTTGCCTGCAGATGGATTGCAATTCCCATCAGCCTGAGCCAACATCAGAG